TTAACAGTTTTATGAGAAAAGTAGAAAGAGTAAAATTAAATGTTGTTTGATTTCACAGCCATTTGAATCTAGTAGTAAAGTTGATGAAATGGAAATTTGATGAGGTACAAACATTTCAGAATAATGTTTCATGCTGAAGCTGTAATGGCAGCAAGAATTCTCAGCTTTCTGTCAGTGCATAGGTCCTCTTCTGCTTCCCAGGGGAAGAAAATGAACTGCTTTTTCTTCCTGTAGATATTTATTCCCCTGAGCTTGGAGCCCTTCTAGCATACATCTGGGATGTGTTTCTAATTACACTAAATGTGTAACTACTTACAGTGAGTTTTTTTCTCTCAATATCTTCACAAAAGATACCTTTAAAGGGCAGGGAAAATCAAGTCTTATCTCAAGGATGTTAGCCTATTGTAAATATAGCCAAAAACTTGGATTGCATTTGTAACCCTAGTTGGAATAGCAGTTAGAGTTATATGCCATTTGCAGACACCACCAAATGTAAACAAAATATCACCAAGTATGCAAAAGAGGTCAATAGTCAATTTAGGTAGGATTAATACTATAGAAAAGTGTTCTTTGGGTAAATTACTTCCTAGCCTATAAGGAGGCTAGTGATTTTAGAAGAAGTTTTCTCCTAAAAGCTTTGGTCTTGTGTTCAGTCATCTCTTTGAAGTGTAGCCTCAAGTTGTCTTGGTCTTATTTTCTTTTTATAATTTTTATTTTGTTGTGTGGTTTACATCTTCTATGGTAGGACACCCATTAGTTGCAATAGTAGCCTTGCCAAATATGTATGGAATTCTGTAGAACCTCTGGACTGTACAATAAAATGAAGAAAAAGGGCTGTTAAAGAGGCTGGAGAGCAGAATTCCACTGAGAATATTAAGTTTCCTTTGGCTTTCCAAATAATGTGGATTCCTGGAGTTGGGAGTATATAGGTGAAGCTGTAGCGTGCAGAGGACAGGAAGAATAAGAAAGCAACAGAGAGAAAGCAGGAGAAGAGCTAGAGTATAACAGCAGCAAGCAAAAATCAAGTGAGTGATTTTTCCATTTCAGTTTTTATCCCTTTGTTCTTTTATTTTGACTTTCATGGTCTTTTTGTTTTCGAATTGTCACAAAATTTATAGTATTAGAAGCAAATATAAAAAAGCCACAAACCCTGGGTTTTTAGAATATTGTACAGTAAGATTAGTCTAGAGCTGCAGGAACTGTCCTGAGTTATCAATACTTAGCTTGCACTAAGTAAGTAGATTCATTCCTATGTTTTCTTTTTTTCTTTGGAAAAAAAGACTTTTCTAGAAACACACATGACAGAAAGAAATTTTGAATTTTTAGTTTTGCTCAGATGATTAGTAATAAAGCTGATTTTTAAAAATTTCTTGGAAGACAGTTTTTTACTATAACTGAGTCTTAATAATACGCATAAGATTAAAAACACAGGAGGCAAGTTAATCTGGTATTTGCTCATAGTGAACTGATGCTATGGAGTTGAGGTGAAATATCAATGTATGTGTGTGTCTGTATGTATATACAGTGGTCTGTGCTTTTAAAGAACAAGCTTGACTTTGAGCAAAGTCAGCTGAAACTGATTTCAAGTGTAGTATTTTACTATGAGTGGAGCTGCCAGTGCCACCTGTACTTAAGGTTGTGTGACCCTTTCCATTTTAAGGCTTAGCTCTTGGCTACTTTGACTTTGCCAAAGTTCAGTTCAGACAGATTTTTCCATGCGAGATATCTGCTTTGGGTTGAATTTTTTGAAAGTTTCAGGCAAAGCAGTTCTGTTCCAAGAACAAGGCTAGTGAAAAGTATGCTGTTTTGCTTGTGTGAGAATATTCTGGTGTCCTTCTTTGATGCTCCAGTGCCCCCAAGCTCTAAAGCAAGGATTTGAAATTTGGCAATAATTCAGCCTTTGTGTTGAGGATGTGCCTTTTGCCTCCCTGTAAAAATCCACCCAAATTTCCAGACCAGTTTACAAGGCTTTGAAAGATTGCCATTTGCATGGGCTTAATAGGAATTTCTTAAAACTTCACAGTAAGCTTCCTTTAGATTCTGTTCACACTGGGAATGCTCCGGGCAGAGTAGAGCTGCATATTTCATCCCACTTCTGCTAGGAGTTGTGACGGCTGGGTCTGGGTGCTGACATTGAGCTAGGAGTGGGCAGCATTGTGTCTTGTATCACCCCTGCCTGTTCCCATGTCCTGTTCCTTCTCCCTGGTGACGGACCTGGGCCCTCTGGAAAAAGAAAATGTTTCACTCATCTGAAAGAGCATGACAGATGTGGAGGAGAAGAATTTGGGAGAGTGTGTGTGTCTGGTTTATACCATTCCTTTGGTCACAGAAAATGTGTGTATCATACTGGCAAAACAATACTTCCTTTTCTACTGAGTGTTCGGTTGGTTTTGTTGCATTTAAACTTCAGTAGTTGAGTGGATATCAAGGTTTTAATGAACTATGTGAGCATCAATTAAAAAAAAAAGTTAGTCTCAAATGTCAGTACAGGAATGTTAGAGGGCAGAAATCAAGAGCTCACTTTTTTCAAACATTGAAGTCTGACATTTGCATTTATTACACTCTAGCCTCCAACTTCATCACAAGTGTTGTGTGTTTTGTCCAAGAGGCAACTGTTTGACTGGAATGGGGAAAGGGGCCTATTCTGAGGATGAGTCCAGGATTTGTATGAGTAAAGGTTGTGTATTCATCTGTTAGGGAAGTTGAAAAATGTGGAGTGAGGGAAGCTGAGATTTGGGGAAATAAAAAAAGGTCTTTGTGGCTAAGACAGTTCAGTGGTGCTTGATGGATTGTGTGCTGTCTGTGCTCAGTGCTGGTGTTTCTGCAAGAGGCTCTTCCTAGGTGGCTGCTCAGACTCTGTGTTGTGGCTGGCTTGAGAACTTCTATCCATTTGCAGAAATGCAGAACTGCAAGTGAACTCAGTGGGAGCTAAACCTCCTGTAAAATCGTGTATTCCACTTAGGACAGTAAAAACCAGCTCAGAGTATGTGAAGTTTGACATCTGGAGCCAGGGAACCTTTTAGTCTGATTAGCCTAATGCCTCAGTTGCCAGTTTTACAGGTGGATGAATGACTTGTCCCATCTCTGTAGAAAGACTTGGGGAGAAACTTGTTGCCTTTGTAGCAGGACTGGAAAATAACATGCTGTAAATAGAACATAGAACCACCTTCTTTGATCAGGGATGAAACAAAGCATTGGGAAATATGCCATACTTTTATCTTTTCAACCTTTTTTTTTAAAGTTCCTTAGTGTTAACTAATCTATTTCATACTGATCTAAGTATAAATGTCTCAGTACCTTAGCTCTTGAACTCAAATTTTCCACTTTGAATTAGCAGTCAAAATTTGTAAACACTGAGGATAATATTAAAATGCTAGTTTAATTAGCAATAGCCTTGTAATTCTCTTCAAAATCACAGTCACTTGACCTTAATAGTAGTTGAATAAAGTGTTAGGAGGATCCTCCTCCTCTGTTTACTATGAAGATGGAAAGCATACTTGTTTAAGCTATTTACTGCCACCTCACCATGATAAATTTTCCCTTTGTAAAGCTGCTTCAACAAGACATCTATTTTTTATTCCCTTGTAAAGTCAGCCATGACGAGAAGTTTCCTATGGAAAAAAAAAATTTTTTGAAAGGGACAGTGCTACAACAAATAAGTGACTGTGTGTTTGTGGAAATGTCTAGCTCCCAGAGTGAAATGATTTGCTGCTAAGTTTTAGCAAATTTAATGCTTTGGAAATAATTTGTTGGAGAGTCTGCAGCAGTGGAGAGTTTTGAGTTGTGGTTATTTGTTTCCTTGTTCTTTCTTTTAAGGTGGAGGTGTAAAAGATTTTTTTGGTCTGCTACTTTAAGCTGAAGTAATCATCAAACTTTTTTACTTGTTTCTTTGGTTGTTTTCTGAGGGTTGTTGTCTGCTGCCTCTGAACCAGTAGCTCTCAGATGGGTCTTTGAAAGCTTCAGCATAAACAAGGCGTTTGACAGCATGTGCCATGCCGTATTTTTGGGAGAAAGATGGGAATTTTGAGCTGCTCAAAGCACATACATCTTCCTTAGGGGAACTCAGCTGCTAAGAACAGCACTCTTATTTGCTTAGTTGTGTGAACCTACTTGCTAGTGGACAATTGTTTTGTGTTTTGTTTTCTTTCCCCCCCCAGGACTTCTATTACTTGTGTGCTCTTCCATGTGTGTTTTGAGCTGTGCTTTGAAGTTGGGCAGCTAGTTTTAAATAAAAGCTGTTACCATGCTCTGCATAGCATCCAGTGTGATTTCAGCAGTCTGTTGTGTCAGTGATGTGGTTTAGAGTTAAAAAAAATGCTGTTCTTTACTTGCCTTGACATTGGTTTGTGTAGGATTGAAATTGAAAAAGTCATTACACTGTGTATGTTGTATAAAAGGCAAGTCAAATGTGATTAGAATGTGATTTAATGGCATTACAGCAATTATTAATTGGTCATGATACATGAGATGAAGTTTGAGGTATCTTCTATTTTTTCCTCTGTCACCTTCCTTTTCCTCTTCCCCAGCCCCCCCAACAATCTAAGGAATTTCTGAAAACCCAGAACTTTGTGTGCATTTGGTTTCCTGCATAAGTCACTCTAGTATATTATAATTTAGAGTGCCTAGATAAAACAATGTAAAATGCATATTTTGGCATGTTTGAACATTGTTCTTCAGTAAGAAGGTACAAATGCTATACTTTTACTTTCTTAAATGTATACTGAAGTCTGTATTCTCTTATATTGATTTTTATTTTAAGGGCACAAAATGAGGAATAGATTCTGAAAGGCAAAAGCAAACAACCAAATTAATTTGTGTACATTTACGTGAGCAGTAAATTAACTATGAGTATTCAACTCTGTTATTTCAAATTGTTTTGAAAAAGTAACTAAAATCTGAATAACATGACTGCTGTATTAAATGGGTTTAATATGTGATAATTTATATGAATTATATGAACTGTTTCTGAATGTTCTGCCCTTCTGTCTTGTTTTTGGCAGCAACTGGAATTAGTGGAACCCAGTGGCTGGATCCATGTTCCTCTAACAGATACCCACAAGAAGCCCATTCGCACCTTTATGATCCAGATTGCTGTTCTAGCAAATCACCAAAATGGAAGAGACACTCACATGAGGCAAATCAAAGTGTACACCCCTGTGGAGGAGAGCTCCATTGGTAAATTTCCCAGATGCACAACAATTGATTTCATGATGTATCGCTCCATCAGATAAAATTTCCTCATGAGGAACAATAAAGGTATTTTTTCATGACCGTATCATTGCTAAAGTATTCAGATACTTAAAGAGCAGGGTTTACTTCAGTGTAATTATATCTTTATGTTTATACTTTGTACAATTTTGAAATAAAGATAATCTTGTGTTGCAGTATGTTGTAGTTTGTAATTTTGTTTCTTTTTCTAGGAGTCTGAGTGCTCTTGTACTCTCTGAGAGAGAAAAAACAATCCAGGCACTCTTAAAAGAATGTATTTGACTGGGTGGGAATCCATAATTTATTTGATATAATACAGATATTTGGGGGGATGATTTCCTCCCCTAATGATCATGCATGGAAATAGTTCATTCCTTTACCTGAAAATAGCTCTTTAAAAAGTTGCTCCTCTTCTTGAACAGACATGATCTAAAGACATTACCAGTAGTATTTTCCCACTATTGCTTGTGCTAATGTGCTGGACCCTTTTCTCTAGAGGGTTGTTTCTGCTCAGTGCCTGTGTGCATCAATTTAGCCTTCTTCATAACTACAAAGTAAATAATAGAATTGCAGAATATCTCCAGTTGGAAGGGACATGGAAAGATCATTGACTCCAATTTGCTACTTCTTGCAGGACTACCTGAAACTAATCCATATGACTAAGTGTTGTCCAGATGCTCCTTGAACTGTAACAGGCTTGGTGTCATAACCATTTTCCTGGGGAGCTTGTTCAAGTGACTGATAATGCAGTGAAGATGACATTGACATGGAGAAAACCAAACCTTTCCAAATTATTCAACTTAGTATATACATTAATATAGATACATTGAGTGTAGGTCATCTAGAGCATGATAGCTGTTGAAAACAGGTGATTCAGGAATGCTCTGGCATCCTACAGCCATGTAGGAATGAATGTGGCAGTCCAATGCACCTTCTAAAGTACTGGGAACTTGAGTATAACACAAATAATATCATGTTCAGAGCACAGAATTATTTTAATGTGTGTTTTAAATAAAGGGCATTGCAAGGAAAATGTGTGCACTGTCTGCTTGCTGTGAGTAGGAATATTTAACACCTCTACTAATGTCTCATAATCTAATCACTAGTTATTTAAACTTTTAAAAAATGAGTAGATTTTAGAAAGAGATGTTGTTGAAGTACAAAGGTTTCTTTTAAAGTGTTTGGTAGTGATCAAACCCATTCTTCCTCATAGCACCAGGAAAGTTGATCATCAATCTAGACTAATCTCAGCCAAGTAAAACTTTTGTAACGCTTCTTATATGTGGGCAAGGAAAGGCTAATAATAGTGGAGGCTCATCACACAATGGTGCATCATCCTGCAGAGAAGAAAGGAGGTGAAATAGAGGAAAGTGGGAAGGTTGTTGAAGGAGGAAGATTTAACTGTTGAAATTTGTTTTATATACTTGAAGTTGTTTCCTGAAAAGTTTTATCTGTGGCTGAATTCCACAGTGTTTAGGGGGGTCATTAAACAGGGCGTTTCCTGATAAAGAACCTTGTAGACAGTGCATGACTAGTTTGGGGTTTTTGTTTAAATGTGTATTCAATCATTTCAGGAGGACCTTAATGGAATTTTACCTTTCCCTGTAGAGGATGGATCAAGTGCAGAATTCCTGTTCAGCAGAAGCTGGCTGAATTTTTGCCTTTCACCGTCTGTCACTTCTGTGGATTTTTCTTATCTAATGTCTGAGAGTTGTACATTCCTGTTCACTTAATTAAAGCAAGTAATGTACTTTTCATGTCCACTTCATAGTCTTCTGCTTAAAAAACCAATGATATACCTCTCCTGGATTTATCGAGTTACTTTTGCTAAGTTATGGATTGTTTTTAAGAAGGGAGATTATTAGGCATGGAATTTCCCTAGGTTTTCTCCTAGCAGTTAAGATGGCAGTTATCCATCCTAGCTTTGCAACTTCAAGCCACTGTTTCTTACTTAAGGATTCTACCACAGATAATTCTCTGGTAATTTTGTGCTTTGGTCAGTAACATTTATCTTTTCATACATGTCACTCTGCATGTGTTATATGTAGACTAATACTGCTCTGTGCCAAACATTATCCAGTAAGCTAGGAACAAGCCTGTCAGCACAGTCCCGTTCTTCTTATTTCTGTCCTTCCACAAGTAGGCATAATTTTTGGATCTTTAGAGAGCTATTCTAGCTTTTATTGATTTTTTTTTTTCAGGACATAGATGCTCATGCAGGATAGTGGCCAGCATTTGTGTCAAACATTTCAAATTGTTATTTCTGGCAGCGTCGTTCAATAAGTTGAAATATAGCTTGACTACTTATCTTGCTCTTCTGAAATTACAGATTGTGTTCAAGTGGTTTTAAGAACCCATGATACCCATGGTAAGCTGGGTTATGTCAAACTTTACTGTTAGGGAAGGCATCTGTACTTACTTGAAAACAAGTGCAGTGGCCATTCTAAATCCATATGAAATCTTTTCTGTGTTGTTTTGTAGCAATTGTAGATTCATTGCATTGCATTGGTATTTAACATCTGTGGTTTTTAACACTTCTGGCACTTGGTCACATAAGGCTGCTGATTTTTAAGTGATGAGATCCTAGATAAGTGTGTCTGAAAATAAAGCAAGTTGCTGCCTTTGTGTATGACTGTGGTACTTAGTATTTGAATTGGGATAAACAAACTGGGCTGCCAAGTCATTCAGGAAGTTACTTACACATATGTTGTGTTTAGCTGTTGCTTCTTTCCCTTGCTCATTGTTTTCAGACACCCAGTTGCCTGGAATCTTACGACTTTCTGCTTTTCTGTTGTATAAGAAGCACCTGATAAAGATTGAGTAGAACAAGTAATACTGGAATAAATGACAGACAAAATGGAAGATATATTTGTCTTAAAAAATCATGACTTGGCAGGGATCTGACTCATCACTTCAAATAGTAGTAATTTAGGGGTTTTTAAACCTTTTCTTGGACCTTAAACCTTTTCTAGGCCTTTCTGCCTCAAAGAAAATAAATTTGGTTCCCCGTGTAAGTGTAAAAACTTTCCTTTTAATTCAAATTTAGCTTATTTCCTTTGCAGACACTAAGAAGAGGGAGGTAACTGAGGCACCAGGATCTTGAACTCCTGTTGAAATGAAGGACTGTACCTGTGTTTTGACTAAGTCATGTCTGTGTGTCTTCTTAGCACCACTGTGTAAATAAAAAAGGCAGATGGCAGGAGAGGGAAAAAAGAGGTATTTGCTGCTCCTGGTTTCTAAAATGGTGAACAGCATTTATGTTTTGTTTAAATTCACTAGGGAATCTCTGGCAGAGCTGGATGTTGAAGCCATATCATCACTGTCTATCTTCTCTTTTCACTGTGAAGCTGACTTTCAGATAATGATCTGGCAAAAAGGCAAGTTTTTCAGCAATGCAATTTCTGTATGTAATTCCATTTAAAAGTTTAAACTGCATTTTGGGTTCTGCTGTTCTGGTTTAGTCTGTAGGGGAGATCCTTTTGCCACCACTCTGACTATAGATGCATCACTGAAACTCTTCAGCTGAGCCTTTGTGCTTTTTCTTATTCCCTGAAGTGAGTCTTACTGTTGGTAGTTGTTTTTCTTCACCTGTGTTAAACCAGTTTAAGGGAAGTAATTGAAACATTATTTGGGCTTGAAATCTGTTTATATGTTAGAGAGAGACAGATACTGAGATTGCCAGTACTGATTAGCAAAATCTCATGAATTTGGGCATAATGGATGAAGTGATGGAAGAGACTGAAGGACCATGGAGAGCTACCGGGTATCTGGGTATTGGGAAGGCAAATTGGTGCCTCACCTAATAGAGCAAGCCACAGCTCTAGGCATTAGGTCATAGCTTGACAAATCCCCAGCTTTCACACAGCAATAGCCAGTAGTAGTTGTAATTGCTTGAACTCAAAATCTGCAAGTGAAACAGGTGCTCAGGCAATTCGTGTCACCTGAAGTGAGTCAGGGTGATAAGACTGGACCTTGTAGTTAGAGCTGGATTGTACTACACCCTGTAAAGAAAGGAGAGTCAGAAGCTGCTCTGGTAAACTTCTCAGGAAATTCTGAAGACTTTATCCATTTGTCAATCATAAATATGTGTCTTTCCTTCAAAAAGGGTGAGTGGGTTTTTCTATAAACTGCATTTTTGAGTTGGGTCTGCTTAGTAATACACAAGAGTTCTTTGTTCTGCCCAGACCTAAATGAAAGCAGAAATGGTCATCATAGTGCTACTGTGTTTTGCTGTGTAAATGAATTACGGAGATAATTTTTAGGGGATATTTTTCCAGAATTTACCAGTAAGCTCTGCAGCTTTAGGAGAATCTATCTGAATTCTTTGGGATCACGGGATGACCCAGACTGACCTCAGCATGTGCTTGCCTGCATGGGGGAAGCAGAGGCTTGGGCTCTGAAGAGCCCATGGTTATAACATTGTGTTAATGGTTAATTAACATTGATGCATTGATTACAGGAATGCTTTGCATTCCTTTGCCTGTATATACAAAAATAGCTGTTTATTTCATATTTAACTTGCACATTACTTCTTGAATTAAATGCAATAGTTTTTTGCTGGAGTATGAGATAAAAATCTAAATGCAATTAAAATGTTCATAATATTAAGAGTATGTCCCTCTAAAGATGGGATTGCTGAGGCTTCCAGGCAAAGGTATTGGGTGGTCTGCTCTTGGTTTGGAATACTTAAGTGTTCTGGTTTAGATCAGAAAGGTGTTAAGGTGCTTTTATAAAGCTGCATAAAGCATCATTAAACATTGTTCATGGAAGCAAATTGAAAGTCATCCTTCACGTGATATACTCGCCGTAACTCCAGGCTGACATTTCAACGAGCTGTTTTACGTCAGCCTAACAATTGCCTGTGACAGTTTCTCCATTTGCACCAAAGAATAAACCTCTCTTGCAGCAGTCAACAGTATTAGCATGGTTTAGTTTAATGGAAGAATGGGGAAAAAAAAAGCCCCAACCCCAAGTAATGAAAATTATGCTAATACTTGATGAAGCTAGAAGATAAAATCCAGATGTAATTATGTATGAAGTGAGAAAGTAAGTTTGGGATTGCTGGAAACATTAAATACCTGAACTCTGATCCCAATGAAGTGAATTACTGCTGTTAATTATAAATAACTATATGATTATAATAATAATTATAAACAACTGTAGGGGAACAGTTTAGCCA